GGCACTCAAAAGGTGCACATGTGGCTATATGTACCCTTACTGTAATTGAAAAACATAACTATCTAATAAAACGTTCCTCAGCCAAAGAGATCACCTTAATATCAAAAAAAAAAAAAGTACAATATAGTTCACTCCTAAATTGGCATTGTTTATCTTATTTCCTTTGCTTAGAATTTATTCCTTTTTCTTTGTTTGATATTATTTTTCTCTATTATCTACATTTTGAAAATATATTTTTGTGTTTTTCAAAATTATTTCATCTGCCAAATAATTCAGCAATCAAGAGCACAAAAATTAGTTTATTCAATATTTGTCAATTTGTCTTGAACTAATAAAGCTGCTCAATACGTAAGTATCAAGGTAGCTTTTGTCTCGAATCATTATGAGACCATATCTTAGTATATCTGGTCTAATAATCGATTAAGTGATCAATCAGTAATGTTAGGTAAGTATGAAGTAATCCTTATATAAGTAGTGGAGTAAGTATGAGATAATTAGTTAGTGTATAGGTATATTAGTAATTGATGAGGTATGTAGGAGAAATAGGTTTATTTCTTCTACGAACTCGATATTTGTTCTAGTTATTTCAACCCTTCTCTCTACCCAGTAAGTTTTTTCCAGAGTGGCCTGTTGGGACAATGGTCATATGAGTGCTAGGGTTGATATAATTGTTAAGTATAGCATATCAGGACGACAGTTATATGAGGTGCTAGATTTGATATGATTGTTCTAAGCATATGGCCTGTCAGAATGACAGTTATATGAGGTGCTAGGTTTGATGTGATTGTTCTAAGCATATGGCCTGTCAGGACGACAGCCATATGAGGTGCCAGGTTTGATGTGATTGTTCTAAGCATATGGCCTGTTGGAATGACAGTCATGTAAGGTGCTAGAGTTGATATAATTGTTCTAAGCATATGGCTTGTTGGGACGACAGCTATATAAGGTGCCATGCTTGATGTGATTGTTTTAAGCATATGGCCTGTTGGAACAACAGTCATGTGAGGTGCTAAGGTTGATATAATTGTTCTAAGCATATAGCCTGTTGGGATAACAGTTATATGAGATGCTAGATTTGATGTGATTGTTCTAAGTATATGATCTGTCGGGATGACAGTCATATGAGATGCTAGATTTGATATAATTGTTCTAAGCATATGGCCTGTCGGAACAACTGATGTGATTGTTCTAAGCATATAGCCTGTTGGAACAACTGATGTAATTGTTCTAAGCATATGGCCTGTCGAGATGACAGTTATTTGTATGAGTTTTAATGCATTCTATGGTTCTATAACCTGTAGGATGACAGTCATTTGTACTAATTTCTATTGCAATTTATGACCTGTTGGGATGATAGTCAAAAGAAAAAAGAATAAATGTGAATGATACTAAAAAGGTTGCGTAATTAGCAGAAGGGAACACCCAAATGTATTTTCATAGTAAGTTACTAGAAATGAGAGACAAAACAAAACACTGTTTAATTTGAAAAAAAAATAATTATAAATAAATAAATAAAATAAAATAAAAAATAAAATATAAATAAATAAAAAAAACAAAAAATAAAATATAAATAATAAAATAAGAATTAATTTATTTGTAGCCGGGGGCTATATATAGCCATATTATCAAATATAGTTTTTTTAGAAAAAAATTTTGCAGCTATTAATAATTAGGGTTAGGTTTAGATTAGGTTAGGTTAGGGTTAGGTTAGGGTAGATTTATCCTTTTTGATTGGACAGGATAAGGATGTTGATTTTATTTTTCACTTCCTACTACTTTTCTTAGCAGGAGCTGGGAGATTTCGAATTCTTCAGCTTCATCTAGAGAATCATTACCTTCTACTGGAGGAACGAAGACAGTTTGTTCTTCTAACTTATCCTAATTAAATAAAATACATTAGTTTGAATTATTTTAAATAATTTAAATTAAATAAATATTTAATAGTATATTACTTACAAGATTTCTCTCTAGTCTTTTTTTTGTAACAATATCATCCATCACCAACTTATCAAAATTATGATTTAACATAATTTTGCATATAGTCAATGTATATGCCAACTGATTGTTATTTGGCGTAATAGTTGACCAAACGTTTTCCAAAATTCGGTCAAAGCAGGTATCTTCCGAATTATCTAAAAATGAGCTCAAAAGCATCTTATATGCTCTGTCCATTTTAGACGATTTCTTCCAATTCTCTATTTGAGAGGGAATTGCTTTTGTTGTAATATGATTTAATAAAGTCTCACCATAAACTGAAAAAATCGCATTTTTGATAGATATTGTTAGTCGACTCCTGCACGAACGATGTGTTGCTAAAAGTAAATTAAATTAGTGCGAATTAGTTCGAATTAAATTTAGAATGAATATCAATAATTAACATTTTTAAAAAATAAAAGTAATGATAAAAAGAAATATAAAAATCATTTAAACAAGAATAGAATATATAGAAAAATATTAAGTGTAATTAAATTTATGCGAAATAAATCGAATTAGTTAGGAAAATAAAAATACAAATTTAACAAAATAATGAAAAATTATAATAAACTATAGAGCAATAATTTAAAAAAGGCGAAATAATTTGAAATAATTCAAAATAATTAAAATATTTACAGGACTAGCAAGA